TGGGGATTTTCCCAGTGTACCGATAACATTGGGGATATTCCCAGTGTACCGATAACACTGGGGATTTTCCCAATGTACTTAGATGGATATGGAAGCTAGGAAGCTTCTCCATTTGTAAAATGTTTAATTATGATACATTGCTCTTTTATCACAGAATTAACATTAATGGGCAGAATGTATTATCCTTCTGAACTTCAGTACAGAATTATATCCTTATCCGCCACTGGTGAGCTGTGAGAACAATTTCTTCGGGGATTTACATCCAGGGTGTATGCGTGTATATGTGTGTGCCGGTGTGTCTAGACCACACATGCTTATAAGGAGGCAGACAAACACATCTACATAATTTCAAACCATGTATGTGAGTATTCCCTAAAGAAAAACTAAATTAAATATTGCTATTTGGGGTCACCTCAATATAGTCTGCAACACGATATATGATACCATCTTTCGACTTCACTTAATGCCATAAATGGGCAATTTGGAACACAAGAAACTTTCCAAATAATAGGATATAATACACTTGAAAGAATAAAGAATAATTAAAGGCAAATAACTGTCTTCTATCAATCAAAGCCCTTTTTACATTACTGAGAATATTCTAGCATACAGATAGCTTCCTTTGACTATGAAAAGGTGTATTCAGTAACGTCTTGAAAATGTTCACCAGTTGGGATTATTTCCTTTTAAGCAACTGGTTTTGTGAATGTTCAAATGCATAAAGGCTCCAGAACAAAAGGTACCCACCGCTGTCTTCTGCTTTGAGGAAAACAAGGAAAAATATAAATAAGCTGAGCTATTAGGACAATCTCTCATATTATAGGAGAAAATATTAAAAACAATATCTGATATGAAATACTAAAAAAGAATTTTAATTTCCCCAAGGCAAAATCTAGTTAGCAGCATAACAATGTCGAACGTCTACTCCTTAGGGTATCTTTTGTAAATCATGATATACAGATGGAAGCTTCAGCTGCATTTGTATAAGGAAAAGCACAGGATGTTTCAAGTGGCAGCATTTTTAGATTCACTGCTGTTTTCCAGATTACAAACTGTCAGTAAAAATCACAGGCAATAAAAAATCATCTTACGAAAGATTTTAGTAGTGTAATAAATAGGGCCCAATAGCTTCAGCATCTCAGTTGATTTTGTAAAATCACATCATCCATTTAATCAACAAAGTGCATTTTGTTGATTAAATGCATGCTCAGTTTGTTTGCCAATTGTGTATCTGTTACACTCATTGGAGAACCTGCCCCTCCGAAATCAGCGAAATGTCAGTTCTGCACTACATCCACAGAGATTAGGCAGACTGTGAACGGAGCTCTTCAGAACCAGCAAAGGAAGCAAAAGTTACCGTTCGATAAGCCTTTTCTGCATTTTCTGCATTCTCACAGGGGTTCAGCGCTCATCTTCGCCGGCTGACCGTGTGTCACTCATTTCCGGGTGCATCCGAGGTTGACGTGGGTACTTACTGTGCTAATGTTACGTAGGAGAAGGGGTGTCCCCTGGGAAATACCTACTGCTGCTATAAGTCCATGTGTCTAGCCGTTGCAGTTCGATAAGCGTGCACTTGTTCCATGTTTAGTATCTCTCTGGAGAAGGCTTGTAACGATGTGGGGGATGATGTTTTAGATGAGTTCCTACGCAGTGACAGAATGCGCACGCGTCATTTCGCTTGGCACATACTGAATACTGTGTGGACTCAAACCACCAACCTCTGGGTTAGTAACCAAGCACTTAACCATTTGTGCCGCCCAGGAATTCCCAGTGAAAGCACCGTTGTTGTTAGGTGCCGCCTGGTGGATTCCAACTCATGGCAACCCTGCGGGACAGAACAGAGCTGCCCCTCAGGGTTTTCTAGGCTGTAGTCTCTCTCCTGTGGAGCCACAGGGTGGCTTTGAACTGCCAACCTTTCGGTCAGCAGCCAAGTGCTTAATCGTTGTGCCACCAGGGTTCCTTAGTGAAAGCGTTAGGCCCAGGCAAATGTTCCCTCTTCCACCCACGTCTCCCATCCTGTGCTCTAAATGTGAATGCGCAAACATATATTCATGCGCTCTCTCTTCCCAGTTAGCCCCTTTCTCCTTCCCTTGCTCCCTCTCCAATATCACAAAATATCCCGGAAAAGAACACCAGCTCCTTTCCTAAAGCTTACAAATTATTCAAGCAAAGCACAACCCTTTGTATTTCTTTAAAATATTTTTTAAAAATTCAAAATACTTTTCTTATTGTTTAGGAAGCACTGAGTTTTTCTTTATGGTGGAAAATTCGGCAAGCAAAGGATATTGGTGATGGTTGTACAACATGACGGATGGAATTGAGCTCACCAAATAGTATATGTGAAAAACGTTGAAGGGGAAATATATTTTACAGCAATTTAAAAACAAAAAAAAAATTTCCTTAAACAGAATTTCAGTGGAGGCATAGCGGGAAAGCATTTTACCCAAACTTCCCGCACATAAAGGGCCATCAAGCCATTCCATGGTGATGGTTTCTGCTTTCCTTAAATTATGAGCAAAGAAAGTTATTGGGGTAAATTTGATCAATCACTTAAAAACTTAGTGGGAAAACTAAGATTACTTGTCAATTTTATTATCAATACAAAAATTTCTGTCATCGATTTTTAGGTTTAAACCTTGAAAAAACACATAATTTAAAAATCAGCAGGAGGCTACTAGTTTTGAAACAGTAGGTGACATTTTTTAAAATCTTACTTGATTTAGCAATGAAACGAAGCATTAAATCAAGTAAATTTTTATAAAAAATATCATCTGTAGTTTCAAAACTAGTAGCTTCTTGCTGATTTTTAAATTTAGCATGAAATCAAGGAGACTGATTTGGATCATATCAGGAAGAAAATTAATATAATAAAGTAAAATACGTGCAATAAGAAAATAATCTCCTTAGTAAAACATTAATTCCTATAGCGAGTGTGTTGTGATTGAAAATTTTAACTTTCTTTTCCTAATTTCAGATTGATATGAGACTATAGAAATTTTCTCCATCTGTATTTATGGTTTAAAAGACAAGCAAAA